TCTCTCTCTCTCTCTCTCTCTCTCTCTCTCTCTCTCTCTCTCTCTCTCTCTCTCTCTCTCTCTCTCTCTCTCTCTCTCTCTCTCTCTCTCTCTCTCTGTCTCTCTCTCTCTCTCTCTCTCTCTCTCTGTCTCTCTCTCTCTGTCTCTCTCTCTGTCTCTCTCTCTGTCTCTCTCTCTCTCTCTCTCTCTCTACAGTCACATTGTTTTGCAAAATTAATAAATTTTAAGACTTAGCTCGTTTGTTCAACAATACGAAACAACGGACTTAAAACCAGTATAGAAAGAAAAACGACACCAAATTGAGTGGTATGAACAATATTCTATTTAATTAAACTATTAATTTTTTTTTTAAAATAATAAAATACAGAAATAAAAAGCTATAAAAAAAGTACAGTCCTCTTTAGATACAAGTATTTATAAATACACACGCCGACAGAGTAAAATTGTGTGCTGTTTCTGTTGTCTTGCCTCGTTCTTTTCACTACAGAAGGCGAAAATGCCGTCCTTAAAAACATGTCGATCGGGACGGATCGCCTTCCTCAACTTATGATATCATTACAGCTTTATTAAAGAATAATTTTAAATTTCACAACTTTAAAGAGTGAACTCAAATGACATTGTGTGTGAAGTATCCTATCAAAATTATGGAATGAGTAGCAATTTTACACACATAATCAATTAAATTTTAATTTTAAAAATACCAGCAGAGCAAAATGCAGTACTTATTAACTTACATTTATTGACAAAAAATTTAATTATTTTTTCTTTTAATATGGTTATTGCATTGTTTTATAATTCTAACAAGTCAACGAGATTGGGTTCTAAAAATTACAATAGTCTCAACATAATATTTTCAATAAGCATATTATAATAAGAACAATAGAATAATGATACAGATAGTCATTTAGATAATTTAAAAAAAATTGTTATCAACATTACATCAATATTTACAAATAAATGATTTAAACGTGAAAAAATATCCGAAATAGAATTAAATATATCTTTAGGGAACATTAACAGTGTTGAACATATTGTTCTAGATTGTTCATTTAATCGTATTTTCGCTTTTTTTTCATTAATCGTCATCGCCATTTCTTGTGTCTCTCTCGTGTATATTGCCTATACGATCCGAGCTTACATTCTCCATGGAGATATTTCCCCTTGTACTTTCAGTCATGTCTTCTATTGCTGCATTTCTCATGGACTTTCTTTTATTGGCCGAACTCTCCACATCTTTCTCATCTATCCATTCTTGAAATAAAACAAATATTATTCACTTTAGGTACCACCAAAGCAAAGGCGAAAAACAACAAACTACACATTTTATTATCTTTAATGTTTATTTAAGAGCGTTATAGTTTTCTATCCTAAATTTTTAAAAATACATTTATCTTAAATGTTTGCTTCTGCGTGCATGGCGTATTAATTTCTCTACAGTGATAAGGCCACTGATGAAGCATTGATTCTATATTCTCAATGACTCAGCTGTCATAAAACATGGACTGAATTGGGCAATCTTTGCGAAATAAATAAAATTTGATTCGTTACCATAGTTGCTGTTATTCTTGACCCGTTTCTTCACATTGCAAGCCCTCTCCTTCTCAGAGTGTTTACCATCGTCACTCTCATCTTCAGAGTCGTTATTTTCAGTGTTGCTTCTTGCGACTTTGGTATCTTGAGATTAAATTATTAACAAGCTTAAGGCAAAAGCGAAGGCAACATGTACGCACTAAGACTTACAGAGTTGCGTTTCACTCGATGAAATTTCCTTCTGAACGTTGATTTAAAATCAATTTTAAGTGTACTTGTTTGTTGTCGTTGTTGATGTTGGTGATGTTGCTTGAGTCGTATTTTGCTGTTGCTGTTGTAGCTTATGTTGCGGATGTTGTTAGTAAAAATCACCGGTTTTAAAATAAGACCAATGGATTCATTTAATCAATTCACAACCCATTTTGCATAACCATACATAAAACATTTTTTTTAAAAAAAGGCAATTCGCCTTTCACCGTGCAAATCAGAAGCTTGGTAAGAACAAATACAAGGTTATGAAAAACCATTTGTCTTCAATATAATGTTGCCAATTTCCCTATCCTAATGTTCGAAACTATTACGGCGTAAGTCTTGAGGAAATAAGCCGTGTGTCCCGCCTTGTTACGTTAACAGGAGAAGGTGAAAATGCCGCCCCCCAAAAACAGTGTAGCGCGGGGCGACCACTCTAAATAAGCGAATGTTTGCAGTATACATTTATATCAGCTAAGCATTAAAGGAGATTTAGCCTTCTGGCCAAGGAGGATAATCCAGTTTTAGAAATAAGGGCAGCTACTCCGATGTTGTTGTTTTTTTCTTCCCTGTGGTGGATAGCGGGGATGGGGGGGAAAGGGGGGGGGGTCCCGTTGTTCGCCTTTAAATTTCAAAAACTGCCACCCGAGAAAGGGTCAAAGGTTATGCGTTGAAATATCTCAGATCACTTCTTGTTTTAGTTATAGCTCAGCTCACCTTCTTACCATGGAATGGTGTAAGTAGAGGCAGATTGGCTTTGTGAGTCACTAAATACTAATCGTTTATCAGTCTATCAGTTACCCTAAGTCTTACCGCGTTCCTTTTTGATAGAAACTCCTCGAAAAGCAGTTAGAGCGATCAACACTATTCCAAGGCACAAAGTGGCAGACACTGTCAACAGAAAAAAATGTTACTACGTTAATTTATTCTTTTTTGTTGTTTTATCCTTTTGAAAGATCAACGGATGAGAACACAAATTACTTTATGCCAACGGCAAAATTTAAAAAAAAAATGTTATTTCAATTTCTTTTAAATTATTTACAGTAAGATTACAACTAATTTTGTTTATTTATTTGTTTAGCTGTTTGTTTATTTATATTTATATTCTATGACTTAGAGTCTATGACTTAGCGTCTATAACTTAAGAGTCTATGACTTAGGGTATATGACTAGGAGCCTATGACTTAGAGTATATGGCTTACGATCTATGACTAGGAGTCTATTACTTTAGATTCAATGACTAGGAGTCTATGACTTAGAGTCTATGACTTAGATCCTATGACTTAGGATGAACGAGCGTTAAATTATGCATCTAAAAATTGTATTGTTTTTTTAGAAGAAAAATAATAAGTGCTAAGGAACAACAAAGCTCTTACCCTGGAGCACGAAACGATATTTGAGATTATTAGCTATCAAGTTAAATAAACGTTTAGCTTGGCATCTTGTCAGATAGATTTGGAAATTCCCAAATTTACTTTTATTGAAAAAAAAAAAACAGTCAAAATCCCTAACAAAATTTGAGTGTACTATTGATGATATTTTTTGTTTGTTTTTTGTTTGATGGAGGTATATTTTATTATAAAAACTGTGTAAATGTGAATAGGCTCATTCAGTAAATGATAACTATGTCGGCAGCTAGTTTTAGCTCTCAGTTGCCACAGTAAAATGCCAACATCCACTCACCAATTACGGCAATGAAAATCAAAATAGGGTTTTCCCTCTCCACCGGTGAATCCCCTTGGTGTCTCCCTAGCCCAGGCGTTGACGTATCTGTCGGCACTGTTATTGGGAAATAAACGGTAATGATCAGCTAATACAGTGATCCTATTGTATCATGTGTTATGAAGTTCTAAAGTAAAAAAAAAAAAAAAAACAGGCGTTGCCCTCAGCTAGTCAATAGATATTTCTTAGTGGTATTCGGCACTGTTATTGGGAAATAAACGGTAATGATCAGCTAATACAGTGATCCTATTGTATCATGTGTTATGAAGTTCTAAAGTAAAAAAAAAAAAAAAAAAAAACAGGCGTTGCCCTCAGCTAGTCAATAGATATTTCTTAGTGGTAAAGCTCAGACAATTTTAATGTAGTATGTGAAGATGGGTTTCAGCACTCGCTGTGGAAAAAAAAATCATGAAAATCAATATGCAGATTAACTTTCCCAAATGTTGGACCGCGTACCGTCACTGGTCCACGAGCCTTACGTTGACCATCTGCATTACATGAATATTTATGGTCAAATTAAAAATAAAACATTATTAAAAGATCGGGCACCGACCCCTTGAGCATTGAAACTTCTCCACCTGTCCACCTGGGAAATGATTTTAATTCTATTCTTCTCATCTTGAACTTTGATATCAACCATGTAACAGCTGTCTTTAAATTCTCAACTCACAATTACAGACGGCGAGCTGTGCCGACGTAAACAGTCCTTGACACGCCAAACGGCACGTGTGATGACGCATCAATGAACCGTCGAACTGTCCCAGGTCACGACACCACTCAAGCTTGTCTTGGTCAGGCAGGGCGAGCACCTCCCGCGTGAAGCACGTCTCGCACATCCCGGCATGGCAAAACTCTGAGTTGGAACAGCAGACACCGTAAGGGACGCACAAATTGGGAGCACTAGTGGTGCAGTTGATGTGAGTGAGATCGTCAAGGGTGGGGGCGCTGGCGTCTGCTGTCAATGGCGAATAAAAAAAAATGAAACGATAGTGATTTTATATGGTAAAAACAATTTGTAGTGGACTTTGAGACATTTGGAGTTTATAAGGTAAAACAATGTCTTGTGGAGTATCATATCGTTGGAGTTAATTTGAAATCACAAAGTGTTGGAAAATGTAAGATAGTTGGACTTTATTTTGTAAAAAAAATTGTTTGTGGAACATCGGATTGTTTGATTTTATATGGTGTCTCAATAGGTTGTGAAATATAAGGTTGTTGAAGTTCAACATTCTAGTAGAATGCAGCCGAATAAGTCTAAAGTTTGACAAAATTTAACTAGAAAAAAGGCGTATTTTTGTGATCAAAATTTCTACAAATGTCTAAATAAAAATGCAAGTATTTTTTTTATTAAATAATAAGACTCAGTGTGCAACAATGGTCCCAGGACTTAATTTAGGAAACTAGTTTAACTCTAGTTACACAACCTCCGCAAATTTTTTTTTGATATTTCAAGATTTCGGTGAAGTATGATTTATTATCCTTAAGACGAATTAATTAATAGCAATGATCTCTTTGGATAGTATTTTATTATTTCTTTGGCTTTCCATTGAGCAAACTTGTACATTTTAATGCCGTATATTCAAACATGTGTCAGGAAAGTATAAAGTAATTGTGTTTAACATTCAGATGTATTGGATAGTCGAAATTTTTATTAATTTTGTTATCTATAGACGCGAAAAGAAGCCATTGCCAAGATTAATACAGAAAGAAAGTGAATGATTTTCATTTCACTTAGAGATCCAATATTTGCTTTTCCAATATTTAACTGACGAACCAAATCAATGCCTTCGGCAGCTGTGTATATAAATGGCAACACTTAGTGTTTAAGTGTTTAAGCTGCTTCTCTTTGTTCAAACCTTGTCTAATCATCTCTTATCATTTCAACACAGATGAAGATACAGGTGCGTTGGATGTAACCATCACAGCACTGATGTCATGCAGTAACACACCAGAGAGGGTTCAAATGGAAAATAAATTTATTCAGCTGTTTGGCACCATATCTCAATAGGGTATTAATCAAATACTAAATGAATGAAATAGCGAAACGAGGTATGTGGAAGCTTGAAATAAGATAACAGGACAAAAAACAAGGACGTTTCGTTAATAAAGACAAGAGCACAGTAGACAACTCAAGCAGTATTCATTCGTGTCTCCGGAAGTGGGAAAACAGGAAGCGAGAGAATATAAATATTGACACTGTGCAAAATAAAGTCAAATAATCAAATACTATCCTACTAATGTATCTCCCTGTTTCCCTGTATTTCGACTATTTTATTATTGGTGTGTGTTTATCTATCCATGGATATTCTGGTCCATTTTTATTGTGGACCACATTTTTCACAGTGTCAACATTTATATTCCTTCGCTTCCTGTGTTCCCACTTCCGGTGACAACAGTGGATATTTCTTGAGTGGTTTACTGTGCCTTTGTGATATTTTCATTTGTCCTGTACGCTGAAGAAGGCTTTATGCCAAAACATTCTTATCTTTTTGTCCTGTTCTCTAATTCAAGCTTCCACACACACCTCGTTTTGCTATTTCATGAATTAGGATTGAATGCACTCCTTTAATTATTATTTATATTCTAATCATATCGGGAAAGTTCGCCTTTCAATTCAATGCAATACGGGTAATACCCTTTCTTATTCTTATATTCACTCGTTGATGTTCGTTTAGAATCGAGAACTCTTGTCAGCCTGACCTTTGACATCGTTGTTCTTAAACAAGTTATTATACTCTCTGCGCCATAATATACGGTACAAAAAAAAAAAAAAAAAACAACGGACGCATCTTTAACACCTTTAGCTCAAATCGACAATGTGTTACCAGAACTGAAAAAGGACGACATTTTGTGAATTTTTTGTTCGGAAATGGGTCTCTCGAAGGAGTACAAAGTATTTGTAGTTGAACATTTTTGTCATGCTCATACGTGAAGGGGTCGTAAAATGAAACTGCAGTTGAACAAATGAGCAGAGAAATTTCGAAACATATTTTAAAAAGAGGGCACGGAGTATTACAGTTATCATGTTTATCGTTACGAAATTGTCTTGATCCGGGAAAGATTCGGGAATTTTCGACTGTATATTGGGTGGGCATACGGTATAACAAATGTTAAGTACAGAAATACTTCGTTTTCATTTTCTTTTCTGCCAAGAAGGAGTTGTCCTTATTACTATTTTTACGTACCGCTATAATGTGCTGAGAATTTAGTCTCTTATTTCACTCTATGGCTCCTCACATTCAGTACATTACAAAGGACGATCCCATGCCATAAATTAAATGAAGTAATGAAGAACAATTTTTGAAGGTTCACACATACACACAGTAAATGTAGTGTGCACTATATACCATCAGTACAGTATCGTAATCTCAAAACTGTCTCTCCCTCTCTCTCTCTCTCTCTCTCTCTCTCTCTCTCACTCTCTCTCTCTCTCTCTCTCTCTCAGTCTCTTTCTAGCTCACTGTCGATCAGGTTATTTATAGTCTTTCATAGAGACTTTTCCAAAAAGGGGTCACAAATAATATCCATATCTCGGTCTGTCTCGTAAGTTCTAAAGAATTCTAATTCGAAATATTATAGACCAGGGGTCTCAAACTCGCGGCCCGCGGTTCATTTGCGGCCCGCAAGACGATATCTTGCGGACCGCGACATGACAGCAAATTTAGTGTTAATGCGGCCAGCGAGTTTTCCCAATGTGACACTCCGCGACGGTTTCAGTCGTACCTCATCGATTAGTCTAATTCTGATTTGTATTATGTTTGTTTAGATTGGGACGTTGATTACAGTGGTAAAAACCGTTTTAAAATCGGAAAAAAATGTTTTTAATTCTTAACCTTTTATGTGACAAACATGGCGGCCAACGTGCGGTTTTGAGAAAACACGTTTCTAATATTATATATAAAAATTTCAAAATTTTAAAAGGTTTGTTAGTGGGTAATGCCATATTCTGTGTAAATGGTGGCAATCCGACACAGTATCAAAGAATCCCTATTAAAATTGCCGCTAGTACTTACGAGTGAGGGATTTTCCGAACCTGTCAGCTTGGTCACTTGCGCTGTCAGGTTTCTGGCAACAAGCATTTAGGAGGAAGAAAGTGAAGCCTAGCTCTTGAGAACCCTTAATGTTTTTATTTGTTGTTACTTAAGGTTGAGCAGGTTGGAACAATTGTACTTTATTGAATTTGTAATCGCATTTTTGTGGAATACTTGATGTGGCCCAGTCTCACTCAGACCCTGCCTCCTCCTACGGCCCCCGGATGATTTGAGTTTGAGACCCCTGCTATAGACTATGTTAGCATAGTGTAGTCAAGGTCAAGGGAGACATTTTATAATTAAGCAACATCCATTGTCGCCGAACTTGGGTCATCCCGAGTTCATGCACGGGTTTCACGGCGTAAACAAGACGCCTATATTACACCATTGTTAGATACACGTATCCGGAAATGTGATAGAAAGAAATTTCGTTGACGGTAAATTGATCGAAGGGAAATTCGGTCGAATCTTTTTTCAGTTTTTACGTTAAAATATTTTGCTTCAAATTTCTTTTCGAACGCCTGATTTTGTTTTACGATAATGTAGTATAGTGCGTTCAAAATAAAATTTGACGAAAGTTTTAACAAGTGAACTGAAAAAAAAGTTTCGACCAAATTTCCGTTCAATCAAATTCCCGTCGATCAGTTTACCGTCAACGAAATTTCTTTCGATCAAGTTTCCGGTAACCTTAGATGCAATGGTACCAAAAGTTTGCCATGATTTAAATTACAATGACGCCATCTAAATCCCTTTGCTTTTTAGTTGTTTTTTTTTTAATTTTTTTGTTTTAATTTCTTCAGAAACCCTTTAGCATTAACGTTTTTCATTAATAAGAAATAAAAACATAATTAATAATAATTATTGTCTGAAATATTCTGAGTATTCAGGGATTAATTAATGTTTTTTTTTAATGTTACAAAATAACGAATTCAATTCTTAAATATTGTCTGGTTTGTTTTTACGTTCCCAAAAAAATAATAAAATAAAATTTAAAAAAAATATATAAACAGCTAAAATTCGTTAGGATTTTGAGAAAAGTCACTTACCACTTGTGAAAACAATGAACACTAGCAGCTGCATTAAAATCATTTTTGATATCACAGGAGATGTTTTCATTCTTAAGAATTGGTAACAGAAACATGCCTCAGTAGTCTGCTCAAATGACTCGGACGTGTTGATGTTAGAGCTATGAGCTAAATACGAGCTCGGTGTTGAAGTTGGCCTTCAAAATGTTAAAATTTGAAAATAAAATATAGGCCTATGCTCTTTATATAGGCTTATTTCTCTTTTTAATCATAGAAATTATTATGAGTGATAAAAATAGAGACACGTTTTGAAAAAAAAATTAGTAGAAGCCAGAACGCGGGGATTCCCCAGTCCAAGTTATAAGATATATATATATATTTTTTTTTTTTTGTATTTTCTTTTTTCTTTTACTACATTTTGTTTTTCATATTGAACAGGGTATTCCCATGAATCGTGTCCGGAAAAAGTAAAAATGACTTAAATAAAATAACTGGAAGTGTTTTTTATGAACCAAAATATCTAATGAATAAATTATTTAAAGGTGTGTCATTATTATTATTATGGTTTACCAAGACTTTTGTAGGCTTTACGGTAAGCACTCCGATCAGCGCTGTTGTTGGTATATCATTTTAAGGGGCGTACGATAACACTTGCGAGTAAATCCATAGTTAAATACAGCACGGTGACGGGGCATGGCGTAGGCGTCGTCACAGTGTAGATCAGCGGTTCTCAACTTGTGGGTCGCGACCCCTTTGTGGGTCGCACGACCCTTTCCCAGGGGTCGCTTAACACCATCTCAAAACCCATATTATGGTCTACAGTTATGAAGTAGCAACGAAAATAATTTTGTAGCTGAGGGTCGCCACAACATTAGGAACTGTATTAAAGGGTCGCGGCGTTAGGAAGGTTGAGAACCACTGGTGTAGATAGACCTGATATGACCTGGCCAATGTTTGATGTGTCGGGGTGTTCGACAAAACCTCTCGCGCTAAACACATAGAAGCCGACATTTTAATTTAACTACCGCGCAGGTTTTCCCCCAATTGTTGTTTTCTTCAACGACCAAACGAGAACTTTAAATCACGTTTATGCACCCTCCCTTTGTTTAGCTTGGAATAAGTAAATAGACAAAATGGTCTCCATAATTAATTTCGTTGAATATTGTAGGATGACACAAATACTTAAGTCAAATAATAATTAATATTTAAAAATAATAATAATAAGAGCGTTGGACGCAAACAACACTTATTTCACTAATTTAAGTTGGTGAAAGTTACCTTTAAAAAAAATGTTACAAAATGACAATTTATTATTATTATAATATAATCTAGCCAATATACCCGGCTTTGGCCTGGATTGCAGTAGAAAAAACAACTTCTACATCCTTTTAATTAACATTGAAATAAAGCGCTATGTAAAAACCCTCCATTGTTTGGTGGGTATTTTTAGTTATAAACAATTACCTTAGCTAAAATATTATTTTCCTATGAAATAGAATGATAAGATGGGCTTGGAAATTAGTCAATCTATGTACTAGCATAGACATAGACATAATCAGGATTTTTCGTATGCCGACGACTGGGTCCTAAACGCTGATGTAACACAGTGGTGCAAACTTCTTAGTGACTTAGTCAGACGACCGCGAGCCCAAAATAATACTTAATGTCGAACTCAAGCAATTCAAGCGGTTTTTAATGGGACAGGGGAACGTTTTAAAGACACAATGAAAACTCTTTGAAAGCGTTTCACATGAACCCAGATAATTGGGAACAGTCGGCACAGGGTCGAGACGTGTGACGCTCTTCCGTGCACAGAGACTGAATGCCGTGCAGCTTCTGCACAATTTCGTGATAAAATGGACCCGATCAGCCATCTGCGCCCCAACAGACAGTTTTCGATGTTTTTAATGGTTATTATTGATTTTAGATGGACGAACTAACAGTATGTGGAATGATTTAAAATACATAGCACTGAGTTGAGACCAATGCTCTGTCCCTCATGACTGTTTTATTTACCATTAATAAAAATGATTGTCTCGGTATATTGTTAGGTTGTTATTATTTTAAGAAAGCTACCCAACGTTTTTAACAGAGGCTAGAAAATCTCAAGAATACTTCATTGTGTCTTTCTTTGTCTTTAGTGAACAATATATTATGCAATGCTAACATTTTGTCAATTGTTTTTTCTTGAAATAAAATGATTGAAATACAAGTTTAAAATAATTACTAGTCAAGAAAAAAGTGTTTCCATTACTAAAACTCTTAGTACTGGATAATTTGTTGATAGGATATTCTTAAGTAGGGTTAAGATTAATATAAAATGTAAATTTAATAAAAGTCCATGAAATAATTTTTTTTGGGTTAAATTACTAAATAGTACTAGAAAGGGTATTACAAATTATAACATTTGAATAAATTTCAAAAGATATTAAAATCTACGTAAAATAATTTAACAAAATTTTAAATAATTTTTTTATACAGTTTTATTTAAAAGATTTATAAAAAAATATCAAATATTAAGCAATGTTTTGCCAATATATTATTACATAACAATATGACAATACATATAACATGGAAAACATTAGGATTGAACAATAATACAGTAGACCAAGTGCTTTCTTTTAATATTTAGAAAAGAAACCGTTAAAGTGAAATCGTAATTTGACTCTGAGATTTCTCTACTTTTCTAAATACGCCAGTACGATCAACATCAACTATTTTAAACTGATTAAAACGCGATTTTCATCAAGGTGCCACTTTTTATTTAAAACAGAACACGGAGCAGTGAGCAATGAAACATATGAATCGTTTTTTTTTTTTTTTTTTTTGTCTAAGGGAGTAAAATAAGACATTTTTTTTTTTAAAAAGGAGAAATTCCCTGGTGCATGTCTGTATTTCTCAATAAGACATCCGGTTAATATTTTGCAGGTGACAAAGTATTGCACACTAAAGCGATTCAAAATTTGACCAGCATTCGCTGTCCACTTTTGTAGACTGAATTCTTGACATTTTAAATTCTACAATTTTTCTGAACCTTTTTTTTAAAAAAAATAACAGACATCCTTAAACATTACAAGGTGCTATTTAAAAAAAGAAAATATTGACTCATTTTTGAAGTGAGTAAATGCTTTAACGTGCAATTGACTCCGGAGACCTTCATTCGTGAACTACTGATTAGAAATAGTGGTGGAATTGCAATACAACTTTACACATCTAAAAACGAAAAATTATTCCGCATGCACATTAGCTGGCGTAACTTTATATAAGACCTTTGGTCAAGATCTTTTTTTTTTTTTGGTGTACATTCCTTGAATTCAAATGACGTAACACATTTTACATCAAGGCAGACAGAGTAAAAAGTGAGGATTCTAGACAGCAACGGTGAACGGCTAAAACTTTCATAAATAAATGACATTTCCAAGCTGGCATATCTGCAATTATTGTCAATAGCGAATTCAATGATAACTTTATAATCAATAGTAAATGTCATATCACATGCATAAAAAAATGATAACATTATTATTATTAGAGTTAAAAGCGCAATGGATAAAAACTGTAAAATATTTTTTAAATGTTGAAATGTGGCCGAACATATGCATGGAGAACATATTTAACGCAATCGAACCTGCCTCTTTCAGGATTGTAAAAAATTTTGTTGTTTGTTATTATTTTCCTGTACATTACTAATATTTCAATATTCCTCTAAAGATTTCAAAACATTTTACAACAATTTCTAATTTTAAAACTAATAAATAATTGCCTCATTGAAAATGAATATTCAAGATTGTACTGGGAAAGCCAAAAGGACAAAAGGAGAGCCAAAAGAACAATAAAGAATTTAGAGGGTCAGAGGAAAGCTTAATCTAAAATGCGTAATATTTGATCACGTTAAGACCGACATAATTTCAAAAATACATTGTTTTAAAAAAAAATATTTAGCTACTACACTATGTAATCATTTAAAAATTATACGCTTAAGAAAACCACTTAGGGGGATCTTAACAATATTAAATGTATATACACTTGTAGGCATACTTTTTAAACAAAAACTGTGCTTAAAAAATAAAAATTAAAAATTTTAAGGGACTGTTTAAATTGTAGATTTTTTTGTTTCCTTAAAGGTCAAGGTTTAATATCCTGTCACGTTATATTTTTGTACAAGGTATTAAAGATTTAAGTTCCAATTTTTTTTTTTTTTTTTTTTTTTGTATAAAGTATCGATCGATTTTTTTTATTTTTTTTTAATGTTTTTAAATTTTTATTTCCTTTTTTTTTTTTTTTTTTTTTTTTTGTATAAAGTATCGATCGATTTTAATTTTGGTTAACATTTTTGGGCTCATCCCCAGCTGTCGTACGATTTTTCGGAACTGGCAATTTCTTGTGGGCTCGTGCTTTCAGATGAGGCGAAAAGTCTCCGGCGGCCTCTCTGTCATCTCTTTCATCATCCTCGAGGGATTCCGTTGCTCCGGTGACCTTAGAAAGTAGTTTTTGATTTGATTGGTGCTCTTCATCCTCGTAATGAACGCCACCTGGAACGAGACAAGTTAAATAGCAATGACGCAGGGAATAATACACTGATCTTCAATACAGTGATGATACGATCTGAACTTACAGGATTTCAGTCTCACAGTGAGCAAATGCAGGCTCTCTAAAAATGTTTTGGAAGACTTATAGTAATAATGAGCTCGGCAAAGGAACAAAAAATAAATTAATGTTACACGTTTCTCACACTTCCGACGAGTTATGTCTTTATTCGAATACAACGTGTCAAATGGAGAAAAAAAAACAATCTATGTGTGAAATTATATCCCCAATAAATTATTAGTTTTATCTATACCTACAATAAATGACTTGATTTATCTATACCTACAATAAATTACCTTTTTATCTATACCTAAAATGAATTACTAGTTTTATATGTACCTACAAAAAAGACTTGTTTTATCTATACCTACAATAAATGAATGACTTGTTTTATCTATACCTACAATAAATGAATGACTTGTTTTATCTATACCTACAATAAATGAATGACTTGTTTTATCTATACCTACAATAAATGAATGACTTGTTTTATCTATACCTACAAATAAATTACCTTTTTATCTATATCTACAACAAATGACTAGTTTTATCTGTACCTACAATAAACGACTTGTTTCATCTACATCTACAATAAACGACTTGAAACCATGATAAACTGTGCCCATAAAACACTAAATCTTTATGATACCAAGTCAGCCGTTACACTTTTTTTCAGCTCACTGAATGCTTTTAATGTTGAAGTTGAAAGGAGATGTAATTTTACATGTTAAAAAAAAATTATTATTATATTTCTTCATCACATGACTTAGAATAAATATTGAATCCAGGCTATTTTGCTGTTTATAATTCATACGTCATCTCGGGATGATATAATCTTCAGACTAAAACTTAGATTTAGTCAGATAAAAATGGCGCTCTCCCAGTGTACATAGTCAGTACCTGTTGCACCCTCTGTATCCATGTTGATGGTCTGCTCGAGTTTTTCTTGCGCTAGATTTTCTCTGTTATTATTTTCATGCCTAACACAGAGGTCCTCGTGGCCATTTCTTCTAGGCCTCGTGCAGTCTAAATGGTGAAAGCAATTCCTTGCCATCTCCCTTACGTTAACTGATGCAACACAAACGTACTTTTGTAGGCTTCCTGTGTGTTGAGATGAGAAATCAAAGAATAAAAAGCAGATCCACTCTAGTGACTAGAGTATCTAAGGAATGAACATGATGAATACCGACTAGTTATATTACTTTTGTGCCGGGAAAAAGTATACTACTACCATTACAAACGGTTCAAGTATATATTTAATAGTATAAGGTCAAATCTAACAAGGAGTCAAGATTCTCCTGCAATAATTGCAGACGATAATGTCATTCGAGGAATAGCCTAGTAAGCCATTTGTTGAAGTGTACATAGCTACTCCATATTCTCGCGAAGACGGAAGGATGCTACATATATCTATATGCTATATATATTTATATATAGATATATATATATTTGCAGTTAATTTGGTTGTCAGTCACATATAACGCTCACACACACACATGATAGAAATACGCACTAACACTGAAATCTGTTTTGAGGCATATCACGTGATTTAGAAACGACCGTATTAATCCGTAGATGTCACACGTTATTTTGGTAAACAGTGTTTCGTATAAGCAATGTTAGTTACCGTTTTTCAGTGCACATCTGCAAGCACAACCCATGACTAAGACAATCGCAAATGCAGCGAAGATGAAAACTGTTGAGCAAAGTAAGGAACAAATATGATTGACTATCTAAAATCTGCTTACAATTAGTAAAATATATGATTGGCTCTAAATAACGTGCTTACAGTAAGGAAAACATGTGATTAGCTGTCTATAAGCTGCTTACAGTAAATAAAATATTTGGATGTCTTAAATCTGCTTAAAGTAACTAAAATCAAATAAAAAGCAATATTTTGGTTTTCATGCTTATGAGTGGGAGAGACTGCAATCAGGTGTGAAATGTGATACGTGTAAATAAATGTGTGAAAACCTTGTACAAGGACGCAACAAAAATAGAGCAAAAAAAAAAAAAACCCAACCAAAAAAAAAGCAACACAAACAAAACAGGAAAATAGCAAGAAGAATGTGTTTTCCTTCTGTCCTCTCAGATACATACATTTGAGTGGGAGAGACTGCAATCAGGTGTGAAATGTGATACGTGTAAATAAAAGTGTGAAAACCTTGTACAAGGACGCAACAAAAATAGAGCACAAAAAAAAAAAAACCCAACCAAAAAAAAAGCAACACAAACAAAACAGGAAAATAGCAAGAAGAATGTGTTTTCCTTCTGTCCTCTCAGATACATACATTTGAGCTAAATGTTAATTTTTAATTTGTATCTTTGTATTACCGGTACTCTTTGTTTTAACTCTTCACTTAAGAAGGCTTCTTGTCGACTCATTCAGGTTTTTTTTTTTCGTTTCTTTTGTCCAGATTTTCCCACATCTTGTTTCCACAAATTTCATTTTTGTTTTTAATCTGGGTAGTTTTTAAAAAGGAAATGATCTCAACTTGCTGTGACACAACAAGAGACAAAACAAACTTACACCCAAGCAAATATTTTAAGTTAAATTCAAATGTCCTCTCTTACTCAAGTTTCGATTATTGTCCTTACAATCCTGCAGCTCGTCACTTGTATCACTGCTGCGTCCAGCACTTGCTGTCGCATGAGTCGTGCCGTCTGGAAAAAAAATATTTTTGTAAAAATTCCGGGGAAAGCATAGATTGTATACTCATAGTCCACTAATATTCTTTCAATATACAGTGGTCGGAATTCTTGACTATTTTGAAAAGTAGAAGGTAGAAAGTTAATTTTGAGAGGTAGAAGGTAGACAGTTAATTTTTAGAAGTAGAAGGTTGACAGTCAATTTTGAGAAGAGTTATTTCCGAACGTGTTGCTAGAATAAAGTCTAAATCGTGAGACACTACAATTTCGTTGTAGAGTCGTTTTATTTTGTTATAATTGCTTGTAGACAAACTTTTAAAAAAAAAAAAAAATTTAAGCTTTTCTCTGTTAAATGGCTCGAGGTTACTCAAGATAAACTGAGCCATTTTACATAAATGCACGGAACTTTAATACTTTATCAGTATCCATGGCCCCCTACTTATCTCTTGCATACAATTTGGTCTGGTGTGGCTGCTTTGTTTGAATAACCTGCCTTTCCCGTACTGAACATAGTTTGTACTAATAGTACTTAGTAACAAATAAAAACGTATATATTTTTTTTTAAACTGCCAAGAAGCGAGCGTCGTGCGTGACGGTTGAACTTAGGTAAGACTATTGGATTTTGTCGTAGGAGAATTCAATACTATTCAATAAAGAGCCACTGGTATGGTGCAGGACTGTCTGTAAGACAATCTGTTGAACTGTCTGTAGACCTATTGTTTAAAGGCTGACAGGTAGGGCGTAGGACTGTCTGTGGGACTGCTATTTTAAAAGCTGGCAGGTACGGAGCGAGACTATCTGTAGGCCTATTGTTTTGTTTCCGATAGGTAGAGAGTAGGACTGTTTGTAGGCCTATTGTTTTGTTGCCAACAATTAGAGTGTAGGACTGCTTGTAGGCCTATTGTTTAAAGGCCAACATGTATTATAGAAAAGAAGAAGTAAACTCTTTTTTTTTTACAAAACACCTAACCAACCGGTTGAAAACAATCGTTCCCGGTTAAGCCCTAGATTAATGTATTACATGCACTGAGCTAGAATACTTAACATACTTAATATATGTAGCTCTTGCCATTTACGTCATACTTACTCTCCGTTGAATATAATTCCTCGTAAGTAAAAATGTCCAGACACGCCAGGACGCAAGTTTCGTGAGACAGCCAGCTGACGTTGTGGACGCCTAGTGTCTGGCACATGGTGAACCATTCCTGTATGTCCATTGTTGAAGGAAAGCAGGGTTCACACGCCCTTGACCTGTCACTGCAGTATTGCGACAGACGGCAGCAGTTCTTATAGTACGGGCATATCTTTGGTTTATTTTGATCGCACGTGTTCTGTCCGTCGTAGATGACTGGACTTGTCAAGCCTGTTGAGAGATGTACATATGACTTTTATCATCATTACATTTTATCATTTATCGAAATCTGGTTCACTCAACAAAGATGGCACATAACTAGCGTAGGAAAAAAAATGGGAGAGACGAGTATGGATATGTGTCCGCAGATCCGTTCTTAGGAGTTTGGGGGCCCTAAGCATGGAGCGTAGGTTGGAGGTCCCGGAAAGGGGGGGGGGGGGGGGTCCAGGGGTGAAGCTCCATCGAGCGGGGGAGAAAACACCACCCACCACTGTGGCACCTCCCTTTTGCCTTCATCAATGTTTCCTGGGGGGGTGGGGGGGGGGGTGGGGGGGGGGGGGGGGGGGGGGGGGGGGGGGGGTGGGTCCAGGGGTGAAGCTCCATCGAGCTGAGGAGAAAACACCACCCACCACTGTGGCACCTCCATTTTGCCTTCATCAATGTTTCCTCTTTGCTCGCGTGTAACCACTAACCATATTGATAATTCCGCCACTAGAGAAAATGTGTACTTTTGAAATATATGGACATGCAGGTGGTAGTGGGGCGCTAGGCGGTTGCCTAGTTTGCCTATATGCCAACCCCAAAGCTCCCCCCTGTTGCTTCCCTTCCCCTGCCTCCGAATTCAACTCAGAATGATAAATTTCAGAATGAGGAAGGTAACGTGAGTGACACAGACGGCTGCAGTGCCAGTTAAAAAAAAAACCGGGGTATGAAGGGTGCCTCACGGGGGCCCCTTCACGTTCGGGGCCCTACGCGGATGCGAAGTCAGCGTGTGCCTAAGAACGGGCCTGGTGTTCGTCAGAGCCGTTATTTTTTCTCTCTATCTATGGGTATTTTCCGCTCACTGAAGAATACTTTCGTGGGGAAAAAAGAGGGATAGGTTGGGGAAAAAATGTATCTACTAAACTTTCGCACAACACAATTCATATAAATAGGCGTCATTCTATGTTAGGGACAACAGCAGGTGACACAACCATTAGTGTCACACGGACAGCAGCAGGTGACACGACCGCTAGTTTCACACGGACAGCAGCAGGTGACAACCCCGCCAGTGTCACACGTACAGCAGCAGTTGAAGTCACCATTAGTGACACACGGACAGCAGCAGGTGACGTCGTCATTAGTGACACACGGACAGAAACAGGTGACACCACCCCAAGTGTTACATAGACAGCAGCAGGTGACATCACATTTAGTGTCACGCGGACAACAACAGGTGACGTCACCATTAGTGTCACACGGACAGCAGCAGTTCACGTCACCATTAGTGACACACGGACAGCAGCAGGTGAGGTCGTCATTAGTGACACACGGACAGAAGCAGGTGACACCACCACAAGTGTAACATAGACAGCAGCAGGTGACATCAGTTTTAGTGTCACGCGGACAACAACAGGTAACACCACCACTAGTGTCACACGGACAGCAGCAGGTGACACCACCACTAGTATCGCACGAACAGCAGCAGGTGACACCACCACTAGTGTCACTCGGTCAGCAGCAGGTAATGCCACCACAATTGTCACATGGACAGCAGCAGGTGACACTACCACTAATGACACACGGACAGCATCAGGTGATGCCACCACAATTGTCACATGGACAGCAGAAGGTGACGCACCATTAGTGTCACATGGACAGCAGCAGGTGACTATATTGCTAATGTCACACGGACAGCAGCAGGTGACACCACTACTAGTGACACTGCAACGAACACGAAACTAGCATGTATAAATTACAATATAAACTACATTAAAATAATTTTATATATACCGAGATGAATGCACCAAGTCTTAGCATATGGTCAAACACAAGTTCAACCGCACCTGTTCCGTGTGATAACATACCTAGTGTTGGAAGTGCGCACAAAATAGTCCCTATGGCGAGGCTAATACCAACTCTCATGGTAACCTGGTTGTTTTTCCTTGTATCCATCTGTAACAATAAAATGAAACTTATTATAAATCAATTTAATCGTCACTTCAGTGTTTTTATCGGAGCTATGAGATGAGATTTGTATAGTATACATCAGGATCCCACGCTGGTAGCAAAAATAATAGAAAGGGCAGGACACTTAGAAAGAATGCCAAATAACAGAGGCGTGAAGAGGGTACACCACCAAAAACCTGCTCCAAGGCAGACCAATGCTTAGATGGATGGGTGACAAGGAAAAAGATCTACAGCAGCTGCGAGTCAAAGCATGGAAAAAAAAAAGCATCATTTAGGTCTGAGTGGAAGGAAGTGGTGAGGCAGACCAAAGCCCTACATTTGCTTTAGCACCACAGTTGATTGATGAGATGAGACTACCTTAAAAGTGTATATATAATATACTCTAAACCTACTAAATTTGAAACGGCGTCAATATGAAAAGCTTAAGTTGTTAATTATTATTAAAAATTAATAATTGTGAATATTAAAACAAAATAGTTAAAATTCTTCACATGACTTGTTGAATGCTAATAGTTTGTTCTAGTTAAATCAGTTAAAATCTTCAAAAATAAATGAAATAATGTGGCGTGTAGTTAATTTCTGCCCCGCTCCTCTGATGACTATCATCCCCAAAACTGCTCAAATGGGCGATCAATTTATTTTTAAATCCAAATATCAAATTAAAAATCCAAAATCAGTTTATGTGTTAAGTTCATTTAAACAATGGCTACTTCAATTAAAGCACATTAGCATACCTTTTTCTATTAAAAAAAAGAACATGTTCTTGTATTTAGAAACAAATGAAGTGTGAAATGAGCTCCTGATATGTTTAACTATGACACGTAAATATAACAATAAAAGTTATTTATAGGACACACCTAGCTAATCATACCACACTATTACGGAAATTTCCAGATTTTCAATTATAATTTCAATATTCATAAAGTGAAAGTGTCTTACCTTTATGCATGAAAGGTAAACAACAGATATAAAATTGTATTGAACTAAACTTAACTTGAAAACAATTAAGTTATTTAGACAGAAGATTTAGTCAGACAAACAAGGTGAGTCAGTGGTTCTCAACCTTACTAATGCCGCGACCCTTTAATACAGTTCCTCGTGGTGTAGTGACCCCCAAAATACAATTATTTTCGTTTCTACTTCATACATATGTGTTTTCTGATGGTCTTATTGCAAGGGTCCTTCGACACCCCCCACCCCCGGGCCAAAGCCATCGCGACCCACAGGTTGAGAACCGCACAGGTAAGTTAAGTGATACAAAGAGTACAAGGAAAAAAAAAACACACAAACAACTTACCTTTGATTTCGTCATCTGTACTTCCTTTGTACTTTAAGTAATGAATAATAATGAACTAGATATTTATATAACGTAATTATAACCTTGTTGACAGATGTCAACCTATCGTTCCAAGAATGTGCACAGGTGAAAATACGCAAACTGGCAGCGTACTTGAATTTGGCGATGTCTTATTTGAAGTCCAAACTATGTGGATATAGTGCTGTGACTTACTTCCATTTGTACGTGCTTAAAAAAAAAAACTAGAAATAAATCGATCTATTCACAAATGACCCGATAGTTTACACTGTAACTTCACATGCAAGAAGTTTTCACATTGAGAACGTAAATAAAGCCTGTATGGTAACACTTTGATTGAGGTAAACTTTCTAAGTCCTATTGGAATTGCTCCACGGCTTAACAATAACACCACTGGGACCTGAAAGGGAAGGGCTTGATGATGTAATAGTTGACAAGCGCCATAGACTAGTACGCCTGACTTAATAGAGGTTTGGCAATGCGTAAGGTGACTGAAATAAACACTCAGGTGATTTCCCTTTTATTTTTTTATTTTTTTAATTTCCCCATATCTATTTTTACCAAACACTTGTTTACATTGATCTCTTGACAATACACCTTCGTGAGATAGTCACTTTAAATAAAACCTTCAGTCAGACTCAACCTTATGGTCCTAAATAGTCTTGATTTTTAAAAAAAAAAATTTTTTAACATTGAATTTATTTAAAGCTTATTTTACTCCAAAACCAAGCAGATTGATATCATTTGATCTGTTCTCTGTGAAGTTGGCGTTAAAAAGGATTGGTTAGTAAATCAAATAGGCCTATAAAGGATGTCATCGAAAAGAAACACCTTTTCATTTATCTTTAAAATCATTTCAATGTATCGTCAGTAGCGCATTAAGAAGGATCTTGCAGTATTTAAAACTATTTACACACCTGTAAACATCCCATGGAAATATTAACACACTTTACGTTTAGTTTAAACCTTTAACAGAGCAGTTAATTTTTAAGTCATTGGATGAACTCTGACTCAAGTTATTGTGATTAAAAAATTGAAAAATTACCACAGAGAAATGCAAAAATACTATTGATAATGTATTAACAGAATCATTGTATCGAAGGTAAGACGTCCAAGGTAAGGGGTCATCCATAAAAGACGCCACGCAAATTTTGCCGATAATTCCCCCCCCCCCCAATAAATCATCACAAATCTTCACAAAAATTTAGTAATCAGGCCCCGCCCCCTTTTCTAATATAATGCCTTAAATTTAACAAAAACAATGTATCGAAGGTAAGACGTCCAAGGTAAGGGGTCATCCATAAAAGACGCCACGCAAATTTTGCCGATAATTCCCCCCCCCCCAATAAATCATCACAAATCTTCACAAAAATTTAGTAATCAGGCCCCGCCCCCTTTTCTAATATAATGCCTTAAATGTCTGCCCTCCCCCCTTTACAAAAATTCCCTGTGTCCACTACTGTCCTTTCCAAACTCTTAAGAAATTCACCTCCCATAGATATCATATTACTGCGCCTGTGTCCGAAACTTTTCACTAGAACAGTGGTTCAGAGATAAAAGTACCTACCCATTCCTGAGGTGTGGAAGACCAGAAAATTGTATTTGCTGCAATCACTAGTTGTTGCTGTTTTGTTTTTGTATATTTGGGAAAAAAAAAAATCAGTTCTTATGCAGTTTGATTAGCAGCAGTAAATGGTTTTCTGGTGAATTTTGTTTGCACATTTAATGCATGGCTAATTGTTGTCCTTGTCTATAAAAGGTTCATGAAAAAAATAATGCTACGATAACGAAAATGATTTAATTATTTTCATATTTTAAATGTTATTACAATATAATTTATACGGTTGGGAAGGGGTGTTTAAAATGGTGTGGACCTCTAGCGCTGCAAAGAGGTTAAGAATTCCTGCACATGGGGAAAAATTGTGTGGGGGGGGGCAGATCTTAGAGTATGTCACACATTACTTATTTATTGACATGAAAACATGAAATTAAAAGTTAAAATTTCTTCAGTAATGGATGTAGTCACTATAAAAATTTGATAGTTTTTTGGAGTTAATCAAAACAAAATCATATTTTGATAGTGAAGTGTGTTTTATATTACATTTTTAAATACGTTTCCTTAAACGCTTTTAATTTTTAAAAGACAGAAGCAGAACAACAGCACAACTTTGAAAGCAGCAAACAAAAATGTTTAATTCAAGTGTAAGCTTCACGTTTCTTTAATATAACTTCGCACATACATCCAATGCGCTTGAGAGTAGCTTGAAGTAACTTGGAGTAATTTGAAGTAACTTTGAGTAACTTGGAGTAGCTTGAAGTAACTTGGAGTAAATTGAAGTTGTCCTGCACAACAAGACTTCAAAGTTTATTTCTGAATTAAACACAACTGTGAAAAGTATTTTAAAAATTATCGGGATAATTGAGTCTCACATATTAGTTAATCTAATGACATTCTACTGGTAGAATGACATTTTATTTAGATGTATTTGAATTTTAAGAATGCACTGAAAAAAATATAGAAATGAGAAAATTTATAAAATTAACAGCTGAACTTGAAAGGAAAATAAAGGCGATGGTGATGAGATGTTTGAGAAGCATTCTTAGCATCTACTATAGGGACCATATCTCCAATGATACAGTGAAAGAAAGGGTTCGTGAGGGTAATGGACCTTATGGTGACTGTAAAAAAGCCCAAACTAGAATGGTATTGCCACGTGAAAAGGAAACAACGGTTCGCCAAAGAAATCATGCAGGGCACCACAAGAGGGGGGAGAAAGAGGAAGACAAAGAAAAAGATGAGAAGACAACATCAAAGACTGGATGGGACTGAAACTGGGCGATGCTGTAAGACGTGCAGAAGACAGAGACGAATTAAGGAGGATAGTTCACATGTCATCTGTGGCGCCCCAACGGTCCAAAGGACTAAGGGACATGATGATGATGATGATAGCAACTACGTACTCATTCTAAATTATCAAGATAGATCTTAGTTTCTGTAACACACTTCTACTCTGACATGGCGTGGGATGTTATTTCTTATGCTGTGGGTTATGTCAGTAGTATGGTTACTTATATTAACGCTTCAGGATGCCGACTCAGTCTTCTTCATTCTTTCACTTATTATTCAGGCACGTAAAGAAGAATACTCAATTCTAGTTAAAACTCACAGTACTTTATTGAACACACTTCATATTGATAATATTAATAAATAATCCTTGCATGAATGTAATTTCACATATATATCTATAGTATTCCATCATTAAGAAAGACACGTCCTCAGACTACTATAACTCAGCTCAACTCTCTAATCACACAGCTCTCACGCTACTGACTGACTCTACTGCTCTGCGCTCAGCTCTCTACTATATCAGTCAACTCATACTTCATTACCAGCAAAGCGTGCAAAACAACCGCTCTGACAAAAACATAATTTTACTCTCCAAAAACGTGGAGTTCACATTTGTTCTCAAAAATACAATCCACATTGATTGTCTCTCCCCGTGGAAAAACCTGGTGAACACACTCACTGTCCACTCATGCTACCTCTCTGTTTACATGTGAAAACATAGTCCGTTACATGCCCCACCCATCTGAAAAAATTTTGTGCAACAAAATTTTTGGCATTATATGTTGAAATAATGATAATGTCTCTTAGAAAATTTCAATGCCACATCTAACAATCAAATCAGTGTAACAACATTAACATTTCATCATTATGAAATACAGGGTCTTTTACTGTTAATATCACACTTAATAGTGAATAATGTACCCTGGCAAAAAATTAAAAAATCACCAATGACAACCTCTTAAAATCTTTATGTATGATAATGTGAAGTGACATTAACATCTTAATGAATAATAAACACTGCAAAATGAATGTAACAATCTTAAATTTTGCATTAGAAAATTTACAATCGGTTAAAATATGATATTCATTTACAAAAATTGATATGTACAAGTGTCTTATCAAAAAACTGAGTGAACGTATGTGTGTATATTCATTTAGAATGTCTGACTAATGTGTCTTAAGTCAGTGTCTTTGTCATTGTCTGCATGTTCAATGTGTCTGGAAAGGAAATCAGCTACTGTATTGTCTTTTCCTTTTATTGTCCTTATCTCATACTGATAATCTAATAGTATCAACGACCATCTGTTTATTTTACTATTCGCTATTTTCTTTCTATTCAGTGCCATTAATGGCTTGTGATCAGTCAATAATGTAAATTTTCTGCCTAATAGATATTTCTGTAGTTTGGTAAGTGCCCACACAATTGCTAAGCATTCTTTTTCAATGGTTGAGTAGTTAATTTCAGTTCTGCTTAATGCTCTACTTAAATAGGTAATGGGTCTTAATTTATGATTGTATTCTTGCATAAGGCAAGCTCCTAATCCAATGTTGGAGGCGTCTGTAACTAGAGTGAAAGATTGTTTAAAATTGGGTGATAACAATATGTTGTCACTTTGGAAAATTTCTTTGATTGTTCTCAGTGTATTTTCGCATTCATCCGTCCATACTATTTGTTTCTTGCTATCTTTATTTATTAGTTTCCTTAAGGGTAGTGTAACATCAGAAAATTTTGGAACAAAAGTGCTGTAAAAATTGCACAAACCTAAAATGGCTTTTACTTCTTTCTGAGTGTGTGGTGTTTTTATATTTAGTATTTTTCCTCTGTTGTGTTCTGTGGGCTGAATTGTGTTTTTACCGACTTTAAATCCTAAAAATTCAATGTCCTCTTGTGCAAACTTTAATTTGTTTGGTGCTATTGTAACTCCATGTGCTCTTAATTTGTTTAGTACTGTTTTTATAGTCTCTAAATGTGTCTTCATATCCTTAGTGTGAATACAGATGTCATCGACAAAATGTACGACATTTGGTATGCCTTCTAGCATGATTCGCATGAATCGAGAAAATGTTGCGGTGGAATTAACTAGACCAAATGGCATTACTGTCCATTCGAACAAGCCTTCCTCTGTGGCAAATGCAGTCAAAGGCATGGAATCCGGATGCATGCCTATTTGCCAGAATCCTCTGTTTAAATCTAAGTGGGTGAATAATGTGGAGGAGCCTATTTCTTCCAGTAGTTCTCTGGTGTCCCTCATGGGTTCTGCATCTAATTGTGTGATTTTATTTAACTCCCTATAGTCACAACATATACGGCACTGGCCATTTTTCTTTTTTACTACTACCATGGGTGATGCTATTGGTGAATCTGATCTTTTAATCTTGTTGGTCTGTATTAAATGATTTAGTTCTTTCTTTACTTCTTCCCTAAATGCATATGGAATTGGATAGATTTTGTGTTTGAATGTGGGTTCCTGTGTTAATATTATCTTGTGTTCTAAACTGCTAGTGTGTCCTATGTTCTCTGTGATGACATCTTTGTATTCTTTTAGAATTGTTGTTAAGTGTCTGTTTGTTGTGGTGTTATTTTCATTGTCTTCTAATTGTATAACACTAGCAACGGTGGCT